TTGTGCTGCATACAAACTAATTACGTGTTTTCCAAAAAACTCTGATTTACTGGTACAATATAGGTAGTGTGGTTGGGAAATTGAGCTGGGGGCCAAAGTTGCAGGATCATGCCATGCCATTTGTGACTGTACTGATCCTTTCCTATAGAGATTACGTCAGCCCTCTGGATTTGAGATCACGGAGGATTATGAAGTCGTTGTAGACACTGAGCATGGCATTTGCTACTCCTGACAGTCTCTCGGAGACTGAGGGGGCTGTAACTTTCCCCTCACCTCAGTAAGTAGGCAGAGTCCCCACAGTGGAGAGGGCCCCTCTTTCAGGACCCTGGATGTGGGGTGCTTGTGAACCCAGGGCTGGAGCAGTGCGCTTGCATTGAAGACTGTTACTGTCCTGAAGAGGTTGGTGAAGGAGCATTTCCACTTCCACTAACAAGAGGAAGGAAACAAAGCTAAGAGCCTTTGCCAAATAATGTCTAAAATAATGCTACCTGCCAGAAGTGTCAGGGCCGCCAGCGTGTCTGCCTCCCCATCCCCTTACCCACTCCCGAACGATCCCACAGAGACCTTCTTTGACACAGCAAGAACATGTGGGACTGACCCTGGCTGCTGGGGAATTGCTTTCGTGTCTCAGAACTCAGCTCTGAGGATGCATACTGTATCTTAGGGGTCCAGGCAGACGAACATGAGACTCCATGAGAGGTCAGCTTGTGTTTATTTCTAAGCCATTTCTTAGGCCTGGCTCTGTCTTAGATCTTCTGTGATTTTGGCAAAGCCATTTGTCTAGAGTAAGTCTCGCTTTCTTATAAAATGAGGAAATTGTAACATAATTAAACTTAAAGCATTGGGGCCTTTTTCACAACAGTTAAACACCCAAAACAGATAAAAGTAGAGTTGTTTCTTTTGAAGGAGGGCCTAGAGCCTTGTCCTTTTGTCCTCTGCTCCCCCAGATGTTCCCATAATGATATACCCAAAAAATCCTACAGATCCAAAGACTATAATTTGATAATTAAGTCCTGGGTATTCAGGGCCCACCCAATAGGATTCAGTGATTCTGATCACGAAGGGCAATGGCGTAGCCACCTGCTTCTCTTACACTCATCCTTTGAGGCCACTGGGCCGGTCACCAGTCTCCTGAGTGCATGGGATGCCCGTGTTACTTCCTGTGTCACTGGACCAGGCATGCAGGATGCAGGCATGACCAACTGCTTCCTGGGAGAACTTCTGCATCCTGTGAGTGTGGGGTCTCTCCCTGCCAACTGCTGAGATGAACCAGCAATCCTTTCAGAGAGCACAGACTTTTATCAATGAGGAGGATTTTGAGGTTTCTTTTTTCCCCCCTCTTCCTTCCAAATAATACTCCCACTGTTCAGACTTAAATACCAAAACCTTATGGTGCACAGAGTCAATGCCAAAAGTCAATCACCAGAGAAACTGCAGAGCTAATAGCTGCCGTTGATCACACTGGGAGGAGAGCAGTTGAGGTTTGCCCTCCTACCAAGGTAGAGAAAGAGTCTGTAGTTTCCTGAAACATTCTTGATTGGCTTGAATGGGAGAAAACCACATATAAACACTTAAGTTCTTAGAGAACCGGTGACCAATTCAGGAAAACCTCACAGAATGAAAAGATTGCCTCGATTGATGCAGCATGTGAAAGCATGGGGAATGCAGTTTTGTAAATGCAGACAGTAAGCAGCTGTCTGCTTGTGAGTATGGCCACGTGGAGGATGACTGCCATCCGCCTGACCAGGCAGCAGAGCAGGCACAGAAGATTTCGAGTCTCCACTCGAAGCTGGGCACCACGCAGGAGCCTTTTGGGTCTTTCTTTGGAAGATTTTGGGCTACCGCGGTTCACCTTATAAAAAGGCTGCTCACGTGGTACAGCTCCCAGAATTCAGGGAGCTTGAGAATAGAAGCAAGACCATTCAAGAGGCATTGCAGGCAAGGAAGCAAAGAATGGGGAAGCAGTGGGACTCCAACAGACCTTGATAGCATTTACATCCAGCATTTTCACGGCTGCTTCTCACGGCTGCTCAGTTAAATTGCCAGAATTATAGGCCTCACTTTACAGTATTAACTTCATAGAAAGCTGAGATGGCTTTTATTATCTCCATTTTACAGAGGAGAAAACAGATGTCAAAAGCTGTTTGAGAACTTGCTCATGACCACAATATTTGTAAGTGGCAGAAATTAATATTTTAATTTAGATTATCTGCCTCTTGCCTGGCACATATTTATTTGCTATCACTGCGATGCTTTTATACAGAGAGGCTGCTGTCCGGTAGTGAGCCTACCTGGAAGTGTCTCATCTTTTTGCCAGAGTGAGAATAGGAAAGGCATGGAATCCATCAGAAGAGACCCTGCAGAGTCAGGACCAGTGTCTGTTTCTCTCCAGATTTGCTGGTGATCATGAGACTGACGGAGCTCAAGTTGAGATATGCTTAATTGTTCTCACTCACCGTTCAGGGAAACACAACAGATTAATAATTATCATTTTGTGAGAGGAGTTGCTCATATTAAACTTTTCACCAAAAAAAATCTTTTTTTAAAAAAAGTGGTCTCAAGAAATAATATTTTTCAGGAAAGTCATTCACATGTCAAAATATTTTATCTGTTTTTATTATCATTTTATCTAAGAAGCTGAACACGTGGTTATCTAAAGGAATGGATCTTGAAGCTGAGGATAAAATTCCTGAGAATCAGCATAATTGCTTAATGGACTTGCAGATTGAAATTATCTTTGCTATTGACCAAGAACTGAGTGGTAATTGGTGTCCAGGGACACACAGGGAACAGTTTCCCTGTTCGTAGTGCCAAAAATGTATTCATTTGTCATTGGTCCCAAATTATGTTCAATCAGCAATTCAAACTCAGGTTGGAAAAACCAAGTGACAGAAAGCTAACTTTCTATAAAGTTAATACTGTAAAGTGAGACCTGTATTTCTGGCAATGTAACTGTTAGCAGCAGTGAGATGAAGCTATGAAAATATTGAATATAAAAGCTGTCAAAGTCTGTCTTAATCCTGCCACTTCCCCATTCTTTGCTTCCTTGCATGGAATGCCACCTCAGCAGCCTTGCTTTTATTCCCAAGCTCCCTGAAGTCTAGGAGGGAGAATATGTGATGAGCCTTTGTGTAAGGTGAGCCACAATAGTCCAGAATACTGCAAACAAGGGCTATCATTATGGAGAAAGCTGAGGGAAGTGGCAGCAGGGTAGGGGTCAGGGTGGACCTGCAATTGGAGTCATACTCAGAGAACACCAAAGTGTGGACAATTCACTTTTACAGGTGAAGTCACTACATGAAGTATCCATCCCTAGGATATGGGGCTGTGTCACAATCTTTTGTGTTGTTATCATAGAGTACCTAAGGCTGGGTCCTTTATAAAGAAAAATAGTTTGTGCAACTCAAAATTTCCACCACCTCTCCATACCATTTCACTGGGGGTCAAGCTTCCATCACATGGACTTTTGGAGGACAAACCACACTGGAACCATAGCAGGTTGCTAACAGAAGTACTGCCTTCCCCTGTAGTTCTGTGTTAAGCAGTTTTTCCTAATGGAGTCAGTTTTTCTCTTTGGTCTCATGGTTACCAATGTTATATGCTTTTAGATGCCTGCTGTGCTGCCCATCTGACTTCAGGTGCCCTTAGAGGAATCTCTGCTGGTTTGGGTTCAGGATGTAGAAGGAGTCTGGGGCATTTACGAATAGGGAGCGTATGTGTAGTTTGTCCACTTTTCCCCCACCTGCTTGTAGGCCAAGGGAAGAGGTCAGCCTAGGAGATCTGTACAAAGCAAATAGCCCCTTTGTCTCTAGTATTGCATGGTGGGCGGACCAGGCAGGGGCATTTGCAAGGTCTCCATGGTAAACATCTTGTCTTTGGCAAAGCTCAGTCAGTGATGAAGATGTGTGGTTTCTGTGGGCACTTGGCACAGAGTCACCATCCGTGAAAAAGGAAATGTAGAACATGTGCTTATCCTTGTACAAAGGTGAAGCCAGAGGTAAAGTGAAGACAAATACAGGTGTCGTAGACTTGAGTTCTAGGCAGCGTAGGTTGCTTGGAAGTGTGTGGGTGGTAGGGTCAAAGAGACCTTAATTTGAATTCTGATTTTTCCACATATTACAGTTCATCTTGCATTCTAAAGCATACCCAGTTTTATTGGCTACCTAGAACACTATGTTAAAAAAAATCAAAAGCCTATAGCAGAGCTCAGGTGTATAGGCCAAAAGAGCCATAATTGATTAATGATATCTGCACTGGATTGAGAGGATGTGTGCCATATATCTGATGACTGTGTTCTCTATTACTTGCACAGTGAGTGAGTGTGGGAGTGTATGTATACAGACATAGCTGAAAGGGAAGTTAGTGTAACCCTATTAAAACATGTTAATAGGATAATATCATGGCTTAAATTTTCACAAACAACAAAACATTATATATTACAGTCTATTTCAAATTTTTAAAAATCTTCTTAGAGTACTATCTATCCCTTAAGTTATTGATTTGCATGTTTGTCTTAATGCATGATGTTTTTGAAAGTTACTTTTACAGTTATCACAGACAACTCCCTGCATTCAAATACTTACCCACTCACAGACAACCACCAATGAAATCCATGGCAGGGGCAATGGTGTTCTGATTTTGGGCAACTAGACTCTTGAACATATGCTTAGTCTAAGATTTTTTTTTTTTTTTAACAAGAAAAGGAGCTCTGTGGCTTTGTTAATGGAATTTGTTTTTGTTTTTGTTAATGTAATATTTGTCATTTTAATTTGCAAACCAGTGTTTTAAAGTAGAGTCTTCAAATCTGTCTAGTAACCCATGGGTTGGTCTCTAAAATGCAGGCGCCTGTCTCTAGTAACTGGAGCAGCCAATCCAATTTAATAAGCCTTGGGATCGCAGTGGTCTCTCTCTGAAGGCAGGCCCTTTGGAAATGTCCTGTAATGTTTCTAACAGCCCATAAGTTAGTATGTTTAATAATGCCCTTGTCTTTCTCCTTTCAGAAACAGAGCTGTCCGTCACTGCTGAGTTAGTGCCTACCTCATCATGGAACATTTCAAGTGAACTCGACAAAGGTATACACAGTGGGGGACACACAGGGCAGGTGGGCAGGGAGGTGAGGAACTCCGTTTTTAATCCTGGCATGGCCTTCTTTGCGATTGCTGGTTTTCAGACCACTACAGGGAGGTGGTGGCCAAAATAAATTCCTAGCTTACTTTGCTTAACGTTTAATTACTTGGAATTCTATTATTTCTAGAGAGTTTTTTCCCCCCCTTTCCTTTCCCTTCTTCCTCTAAAATGTTCCACATGGTAAAAATGTTTCAAGATGTGGAATAGGGTGGTTTCTGACCTTCTTGACACTGCCTCTAGTGGATCTTATTTAGGGGATTTGATTCAGCCTGAGCCAGGATTGATCAGAGCTGTTTGCTGGGTGACCTTTTACAATGAGTATTTGATGTGTTTGCAGGGTTCAGGACCGAGTATTTGGAATGTTTGTAATTGCCTGTGTGTGCAGATGGCAGCTTCCTGTGTGCACGTGGGGAGCAGGTTCCTGCTTCGAGGTTATTGTTTCCTATTAATTAGGCCCCGCTGTATGCTAAGCATCGGCTACTCTGCAGAGATCCTGTATCTTGGAGTGGTCAATCAGATCGCACTCACAGTCCCTGCAATCTGGCTCAATCTGCCTTTCCAGTCTTATTTTTCTGTAGTCTCCTGTAGTCCTCGCTATGCCTTTTATGTATCTCTAGCCACATTTCTATTTCTTCTGATACCCGGGGTCTTCAGAAAGTTTGTGGAAAATGTCTATTATGAAAAGAACTTTGCGTGGATTTCAAATTTTTGGACACCGAAATAAACTTGTTTTTTAACTCAGTTTTGCGCGAAGCTTTCAAGGTATCCACATGCTTCTCTGTCCCCGACCCTTGTTGGCATTCTTCTCACCTGGCATGGCCCTTCCTTTTGTGCCAGCACCTATTCTTTCTCTTCTGGGAGGCTGTAAGTGACTGCCCCTTTCAGACTGGGCATAAATTCCCTATTATCCACGGGCTTGTCCAATCCCTCAGCAGAAAGTGGCCTTTTCCTCGTTGGAGCTCCCATATTGCTTTTCTCTGTTCTCCCCTCAGCATTTTCTATATTACACCATGGTGATTCATGTATCCGTCTATCTCACTTTCATTCTTGAGCCTGGAAGTTCCTTGCAGGTAGGATTTCTATGTTGCTTTTTGTTTTCTTCATCACTCTAATGCAGACTTTTGTTCATAGGACATCCTCAATAAATATGTGTGAAATTATGTCATACTTTGTCTAGTGAGGGGCCTCTCTTACACGTGTGTGCAAATATGACCAACACATTTACAGAGTTTCTACTTCAGTTCAGACTTGATTCTTGGATCTGGGATTATTATAGTGGTGAAAGGAACTGAAAAGTTATTGTCAAAAATTGCCTTTTATGATCAGCTCTCTTTTGTCTGCTAATATATTCCCTGGAAATTGTACTTGCCCTCTGATGAGACATGTTATTTTGCTACTTATACATTAGTAGGCATGTTAGGGTGGCAGGAAGAAATGAGATGCCTTTTCATCTTAAATCAAAGGATATATTTAGGATTTTTCTTTTTTAATTACATATTGGAAAAATTGTAGCTGTACATATTTATGGAGTACAAAGTATGTTAAAATTTTTTAATGCAATGTGGAATGACCAAGGCAAGCCAGCCAACCCATCCATCAAACATGTGACATCCCCCGTGATGAGAACATTCAAGATCTCTCTGCAAAATTGACGTATACAATATTCAGCTATTAGCTGTATTCACCATGCTGTGCAAAAGAACTTTTTTAAAAAAACCTATTCCTTCTCTATACCTCACACATGATCATTTTTTCCAATTTGCCAAATTTCACCTGGGCATTATTTTTCTAATTAAGAATTAAAGTACGGGGCCAGTGCCATGGTGCAGTAGGTTAATCCTCTGCCTGGTGTGGAATTAAGTACATAATGAGGACTTGACAGTGGCAATCCTAAAATGTCTCAGTAACCCAGTGGGTTAAAAAAAAAAGTGGGCTGGCATTGTGGCATAATGGGTAAAGCTGGTGCCTTCAACACTGGCATCCCATATGGGTACCATTTCTGACCTAATTTGCTGATTAATTTCCCTGCTAATTCATCTGGGAAAGCAGCAGAAGATGGTCCAAGACTGGGGTCCCTGCATCCATGTGGGAGACCTGGAAGAAGTTTCTGGTTTCTGGTTTGGACCTGCCAGTCTCTGGCCGATGCAGCCATTGGGAAGTGAACCAGCGGATGGAAGATCTCTCTCCCTCTTCCTCCCTCCCTCCCTTTTCTTCTCCCTCCCTCCCTCCCCCTCTCCCCCTGTCTCTCTCTCTCCCCCTCCCTCCCTGTCCCTCTCCCTCTCTCTCTCTGCCTTTTCTCTCTCTCTAAATTCTGCCTTTCGGATAAATAAATAAATCTTTTTTTTAAAGAAAGAAAAGTAAAAATAAGTATGACAAACTTTTGGTGATGCTGGAGTTTACTTTCAATTATTATGCATGCAAGAGAGGTGAGAAAGCCACCATTAGCAAGAGTCAGCAGACGTAACACAGGCAGGGGTTTATAAATTAGGAACTGAAGACAGCAGACCAATTTGAGAGAATATACATATTTAAAATGTTTCGGCCGGCGCCGTGGCTCACTAGGCTAATCCTCCACCTAGGGGCACCGGCACACCGGGTTCTAGTCCCGGTTGGGGCGCCGGATTCTGTCCCGGTTGCCCCTCTTCCAGGCCAGCTCTCTGCTGTGGCCTGGGAAGGCAGTGGAGGATGGCCCAAGTGCTTGGGCCCTGCACCCCATGGGAGACCAGGAGAAGCACCTGGCTCTTGCCTTCGAATCAGTGCAGAGCGCCAGCCGTGGCGGCCATTGGAGGGTGAACCAACGGCAAAAGGAAGACCTTTCTCTCTGTCTCTCTCTCTCACTGTCCACTCTGCCTGTCAAAAAAAAAAAAAAAAAAAAAAAAAAGTTTCAGGGTGAAAGAGAAAATGTAACCTATAGGACAAATATAGAATAATATGGCCAAAAATGTAGCCAGATTCCAGAGGAACTGAATAGAAATTCTAGGGTTGAAAAATAAAGTTAGGAAAAGTAAAAATTCATCAAATGGATTAAACAGTTGATGCAGTCAGCTGAAAAGAGACATAATGAACTGGAAGATAGATTTGAGAAAATTCAGTGGATTAGAGATCGGACTTGATCCGAGGAATCTGACTGGTTTTGAATTCTGAATCTACTACCTATTAACTGTGTGACTTTTGGAGGATCACTCAACCTGCTGTGCTTTGATCTTCTCATTTGAAAAATGTGATAATAATAGTACCTACCTCATAGGGTTGTTGAGAAAATTCATCTAACTAGCTAATCTGATAAAGTAATTGGAGAGTAAGAAGTGACAGCTGGCTTTGGCTAATATAGTCCTTCTTTTGGACTTGATAGTTAACAAATCTTGGGCACTTTGGCAATCTGGTATGGCAGGTTTATTTTAGGGTTGGGGGCAGAGAAGTCAAATCCTGTTAAGTCATCCCATGCTACCAGCTGTCCACTCTGGCCTTCCACACCTGAGTACTCACCCGTGCAAGGGCCACTTATCAAACAAGATTCTGTATGGTCTTACTCCTACTGACTCTTCGTACCTAGTCGTGGTTAGAGACCTACTCCTGGGGCTTGATACTCCATTTCAGTCCCAGTCCTTATACTATTTGATCTCTGCCTCCAATTCCTTAAATGTGTCATTCTCTCTTTCTTCTCTATTGCATGGTTCATGCAGTTTCCTCAGACTGGGCATCCTTATTGCTGATCTTCATTTGTCTAGTCCCTCTTCACTTAAATGTCACCTTAACATCTCCTCACCACCCCTCTCTTTCCCTACAGTGGCCCTAATGGACATACCACTAAATAAGACAGGCAGTATTCCTGCAATGGTAAACCTTCTAGAGGGAGAGATAGTCAGAAATGGGCAAATCCTTCCATAACCCCATTGTCCATGCCATCAACAGTTCCCCAGATATTACGCATATTATGCATAATATGCATATTACGCATGTCGATCTTGATCAGAACTGTTACTATGTGATATTGACTATCTGTTTGGTGCCAGCTTCTCTTAAGTCAAGATCTCTCTTATCTATCACTGTGCCTTTATTGCCTAACACAATCCCTTCCTGGCATATGGAAGGAAATATGTTTTTTTTTTAAAGATTTATTTATTTATTTGAAAGTCAGTTACACAGAGAGAGGAAAGGCAGAGAGAGAGAAGTCTTCCATCCGCTGGTTCACTCCCCAGTTGGCCACAATGGCCAGAGCTGTGCCGATCCAGAGCCAGGAGCCAGGAGCTTCCTCCGGTCTCCCACGTGGGTGCAGGGGCCCAAGGACTTGGGCCATCTTCCACTGCTTTCCTAGGCCATAGCCGAGAGCTGGATTGGAAGAGGAGCAGCTGGGTCTCAAACCAGGGCCCACATGGGATGCCGGTGCTTCCGGCCAGCATGTTAACCTGTTGCACTACAGCACCGGCCCCAGAAATATGCTTCTAAGTTGTTTTTCTTCAAATCTCAGCTGTGTCAATTCATAAATGCTGTGTGTGCCAGTTAACTATGTTGTATGCATTGTTTGAACTCATACCCTGCAGTGTGGTAGAACAGATCAATAACTGAAGCTCATAGCGAGAGTGAAAGGACTTGACTGAGCATCACAGGGTGAGTGGCAGTGCCAGGATTCCCACCAAGGCCTCCAGGTCAAGTCCAAGGATCCAGGGCCAACCTGCCAGCTGAGTGCACTATCTCCCTTGCATTCATATCCTTCCTATTATTGGGCAGGTTTTGCACATGGAGGAGTAGCAGCAAAGTAAAATCCATTAATTGGCATGCTGTTCCATTTACCCACCCGACTTTGGCTTCCCAGCCTCACTCAGCCCCCAGTTTTCTGTTAAAGGAGGCCAGTCAGTGGCATTAAATAGCTACCTGTTTATCCTTTCCAGCAGGAAATGAATTTTAAAAGAGACAAGGCCACCTGGGAAGAGCCCTTGAAAGCTAC